ATATATATATATTGATGCCATGTATATAATAATAAAGAAAAAATATATATTATTGGTCTAGGTGGCCATCACTTTATTCAAGTAGTAGATATTTATGTTTGTTCGAATTATTGTAATGAATTTTAATATAGGTACCTAATTATACATACACATTACCACTGTTTTTGTTTAAATGCTTGATTACAAATTTTTTCAATCAAATCGAGGGCTCCAGACACCCTGCGTATTCCATTACTAAAACGTCCAGACAGCCCTATAACTTAATTCGTGCGAGACTACAAAATGTTCTGTTTATAATTGGTTTTTTGTTTTGAGATAAATAACATTCGATACTTGATAACCATACTGTCCATGCTGGACATAGTCTACATAGTTGAGATTATATTTATTCACACAAAAAAAAAAACATAGAATTGCGCTTGAACAGTGTTATTCTGGAGTAAGATTTTGAGGCAATTGCTGCTTGGAGACGAAATTGGTGGATGAGTGTAGGGAGGTATAGTACTAGGATACTGGACAATGGATTTATGCGATAAAATATTTTTAATACTAATATTTGTACTATATTCAGTAAAAAAAAAAAAAAAAAGAATGTAGATTAAAAGCTATGAGTACATTGGTGGTGGTCTCAAGTGGTAGTTTGCTTCAGGTCTGAAAAATGCTCAGCATGTTACTGTACTTAATATATCAAATTGTCATAGTAATAACTAATAAACAATAAACAATAAAACAAGGCATATATTTATGTATTTGTTGTCATATAGTCTTCAAGTTCAATATTTTTAAACTGTTTAAAGGTACCTAATATCCAATATCTACTACCAAACTATTAAATGTATATTGTATATATACTAACGGATTAATGTTATCTATTTAAAAATTTAAATTTATAAATAATAATTCAATACCTATTATATACCTAGTTAACATTGATTTGTGTGAAATTATCACGCGCAAAGTCGTTACATTAATTTGTTTTCTATAGAAATTTATCATAAAATCTATACTAAAACCATATTATGTCAATACTATGAGTTGTAGGACAGAAAGATATACATTATGATGTATGAGCCTATTAATCAATAATCGCATACTTACAAGTCATAAACGGACTAAACACTGATCAAGAATCAGTTACCATTTCACCACGAACACCGATCTGTCAACGAAATACCGCAGTCACTCAGAGAAACCGTCAACTTGGAATTGAAGCTTCAGAATTTCTTGAATTAACATTACCGTCATGATAATAAATTGCGCATGTTTTTTGGTGAATGCGCATACCGCGTACCGCCACAATTTTAGATATCCTAAGTTCCTACTAAACCACGATGAAAAAATATATTTAAATGTTAAAAAAAAAATTGGTTCAGTTAAATTACAAAAAGGATAAGAATTTTATGTACGATTTAAAAGGATATACACTTTTAAAGTAGGTAAATATTTGTATTTGTACTTGAATACCTACTCATAAAAAGTATACTCTACATAGGGTGGTCAGAGATTACATTTTAAGAAATCCGAGACACCAAAATTATAAGTTATTATGTATAATTGTTTCCTACACCTTTTTAGTACCTACCTATGATATACCTGTGCTTTATACAGTATAGACTCTATACTATAGAGTAAGAGTTTATACAACAGACATTACTCGTTAATGATTAATTAGGACATTCGATGTGAAAAAATACTAAAATTAATCAACTAGATAATATATCTTGATTAAAAATAAATTCAATAATCAAGTATAATAAAAAAATTATATGAACTTGACTTTGAAATATTAGTTAGGGGAGCTATCCAGTAATAAGACCCTTTTAGCGAATTTTGGGCGACTAACAAAAAAAACCATTTTCGATAGGAATCGAACCAGAAAAATTGTTGGAAGTTCTTACTAGATTGAACTGATGAACTTGAAGTCAACTCATGTTTTTGCGTTTTGAGGTGATCTTTTAAGTCCGATTGTCCACCGTGATTAACTGAAAATTTTCTAAGGCAAGTTATCACTATATAACTTTAAATCGTCAGTAGGTTTAAGTCGTTTAATAAATGGTAAATCATTTTGTCATTTCTCAATAAAACGACAGTGTCTTAGTGACATATTTATTGTGTAAAAAAATGAACTAAATAAAATCACGACACTATAAAATTAAAATATAAATACGTACAAGACCGTTGGTTGACTTCACAGTGCAACCAGTAGGTACTATCGGCACATAAATGCATACTGAGTTACTGAGACTACTGGAATCTGGAGTATAAACTAATATAGGTACTAGGTATACATTATATTAAAATTATTAAATAAATACATATTATTATCTTTCGTAATCGCAGTTCTCGAAATCCAAAAATCATAATTTGGTTTTTCCCGATTGTAATGAATGTAAAACCTTTCTGAAGCCTATTTGGACTTATAGTGTTCAATTATGGGGTGTGGCAAAAAAAAAAAAAAAATCATCATTTACAAAATGCAAACGTTTCGATCTATAACTCGATCTTTACGTATCTATAATTTACAAATGCGCTCTTCTATATAACGAATCACCATACACTGCACTCAGATCTCGGTGTATAAGTAGTCGCTGAAGTGCAGGCCTCATACTACTACAAGCAAGCACGGAACCAGAGCAAAAATCTGGGGGGGAGGTCAAACAATTTTTTTATAAGCACTTTATTCATACCTAATTTACAATTTTGTCATAGTAGTAAGTATAACCTAATGAATGTAATAAATGAATTAATGATTATTTAATATAATAAAATATTTATAAATTAAATAATAAAATTTAAGTCTATTTACGTTTTTACTTTTTCCAATGTATATATATATATATAAATCCACCTTGTGTAATATATTATGTTATCAGACGTAGGTAAAAATGATTTAAAATATTGTAATATCAGGATCTGTAGAATTATAAAAAAAATTGAGAAATTATATGGATCCGTCCCTGACTACAAGCGCTTCCGCTACCAACTAGCAAACCATCCTAATCCACTTATTGCTGTACTTACTCGTACCTAACGTCCCTAGAAATCCAGCGAGAAGGCTAAAAAGGAGCTGGTGTGGTGACTTGGCTCATTAAATTAAAGCAATTAATACATATATATATATATATGTATGTTAGTATGTATAATATAATATAAATGTATAATCATGATTCATGACATTTTTCGTATCTGAAAGTTACTGCTGGGTGACTTCTTACCAGTTTATATATTATTTTTTTCGCACATATACTTATTATAAACACCATTGTATATTATATTCTAATGAATATTAAAAAAAAAGCATGTTAGTATGTAAATATTTTTATGTACAGAAATATATAGAAACCAATACTTTAGACACAACAAAAAAAGTAAATAGAAACCGTCAACCAATATAGGCATCCACGATCAATTTAATGGCGATTGGCGACCACCCACTCCAGTCATATCCCATAGGTGTATTAGTGTATTACATTTTTACCAATCGATGACCATTTATTATTGTTAATACACCATAATTTCCATAAATAGCTGTCGATTCCCATTGTTATTAATAAAAACTTATTATACAGCATTACCTACCGTTGAAAATTAATTGTGTGTACGTATGTGCTTCGGCTTAATAAGACAATTAATATTCAGATAGACAATGACATAATACAATTTTACTGATTTTATTGTTCATAATTTTCTTATGACAGGCTTTGAATGTATTAGGTGGGTGGAGTGGGTGTAGTGACCGGTTGTTGGAGATCCCTGCCATACATTTAATTTTCTACTTCAACGCCACTGCAGCTGATTTCCCGCTAATGACCAGAAACCTAGATGATATTCATAGAATAAAAAATATTTTCATTTGTTACTACTTTTGGTATAGAAATTGCATGTTCAAACAGAGCATAAGCTGAAGATTCGGGACATATAAAACATAGGAGCTAATATTAAAAAGTGAAAATTGGGTATACTAACAGTGTGTATGACCATTTTTCCTAAATGATTAAAGACCATGTCACCAATTATAAGGCCAATAACTTAAGTCATTTAGTCAACATTCAGCGTTTAAGACATGTATAACACTGTTACTGTAATATGATTATGTTAAATTTTAAGACATTCCTCAAAGATTCAAATTAATTTTCTTAACATTTTAAAATGACAGTAACTATTTTAATGTACATATTTATTTAAAATGTCGATAAATTTTTTGAGCAAAATATTATTTATCTTGATATCAAATAAGTATCTTTTTCCAAGTCACCTTAAATCCTAATTATAGTTCTAACCATCCTGCATACTTCACCTATCTATGTATAGGAAGGTAGGTAATAAAAACACGGTTTTTAATTTGGTTATGTGTTTTATTTGCTTTGAATCTTTTTTTTTTCATTTAATTGTTTTTGTCATCATACTTTTATTACTCAACTCTTTTTTTATGTTTTATTTTTTAAATGTTTTCACTTTTATTGCTTAAATATTTTCTTTGATTTTTTTTTTTTAATATTGTATTTTTCAGTTTCACACAATCTTTTATACATATTAGACATTCTTAAAAGTTATTAATAAACCTACATAAAAATATGTAGTACAATATTTACATAAAAACACAACTTGTTTCAAATTTAGAAAAATAGTGAATTAAAATAATAATTTAAAAATATCTAGGTATAATAAAACTTATAGCTAGGCACATACGAACTTTTCAAACCTTAAGATCTAATATAATGGATATATTATTATTCAAAATAGTACATTAAATATTAATTTGAAACAGACAATGTAACTAAATAGAATAATATAAAATGAATAATTTCATAATTCATTGCACAGTCATTTGAAGTACACAATATTTTTTTTATTTCCAATTAGTTATTACAGGCTATAATTATTAATATTAAATCCAATTTTCAATCAAAAATAAAAACTTAAGTTAATACATTCCCAATAGCTCATTAAGGCTATTAAATTAATAATTGGATGTATGTACAAAAGAAATTATACTTTAATTTAAAAAGCCTTTTATTAGAACTTCTTAATTATTAAATATTTATGATTCCCACCGATAACTATAGCGATGGATTTATTGTGAACGTCAGTAAGGATAATACATTGCTCTTCTGGAATAACCACCTCTGTAAACAAATTTATAAAATCAATCAAACATAATATTAAATATTTTTTTGAATGTGAATTTTAAAAATATATACCTTGGTCTACGAGATGGTCTATAACCACCATAAAATGATGACTGTGCACCACCACGAGACATTGGACGACCTCGGAACATAGCTCTACCCCTAGATGCTACTGGACGATTTGTAGTGCTTATCCCAGGTTTATTCGTTCTTTTTGGATTAACCTGTAAAAAAGCAAAAGCTTTTAAAAATAGTATGCTTCATTAAATTTATTAAATATGTATATATTACTTTAATTTGACGACCCCTAAATAAAGAATCATCCATTGCCATGGCTGTATTAACAGAATCCATATCAGCAAATTCAATATATGCAAACCCTTTTGGATGACCATCAAATTTATTACACAATATGGTAACTCGATTTATTGAACCACAGCCGTGAAAATGGGTTTCCAATTCTTCGGCTGTTGCTGCATAGTCTACCTACAATTGTAAAACAAATACTTTATGGTACAAAAATTCAATAACCGTATCATCAAAGATATACTTACATTACCAACATAAACAGATCTAGCATCAGCTTCAGCTTTTTCCTGCTCCGATAAATTATAAGTTGCACCTAAAAGACAACATTTATCTTTTAATATACAAAATAAAGAAAATTTTTATATTATCAATTTTATTTTTAAATCTTTTAAATTTTATTAAGATAAGTAATTATTATTTCTTAGTACAAAATAATAAATACTTTATTATTGTTAGATAAATATATTTTTTTATATATATTACGTCATTTACTCAGTAAATAATTTTATTTTTCTCTATTCCAAATAAGTCTGGAAAAATTTTAGCAGCAATGCTTCTGGTTTTGCACAGGTATATCTCATAATCTACCGGCATTATTGATGACAATCCAGTTATATACAGACTCGATGTATTATCTCACACACTTACTTACGTACGTACGTACATACGAGCTGCTGGGACTACTGTCATTATAATGTTCGTATACACGGCGGCGAGCTCTGACTGCCAACTTGATCACATCAAGTGCTGATAACTGTAGCCAATAACAGAGAGCCCGCCTACACTATTTCTTTCAGACTTATTTGAAATAGAGTATCGTATCACATGTGGAGATCTTCTATATTCTTATTCCTCAGAGTTGAAAATTAAACTGCCAAAAAATTAATATAAAGAGCTTATGAGGTCTATTATCATCAAAAATATATCTTGATTATTAAATTTTAAATTAAAAAAAAGAAATCATATTACAGGTAAAAGAACAGTGTTGTAATAAACTTTAATTTAAATAAAAATTTTATTTAGAAATAAATACAAGGGTTAATTGATTCAATTTCTAAATTACTTGGTATTAAAGAAAATACTAATACAATAATAAGCTAAAAATATTAGACGTAGAATAGATTTAGTAAGTGATTGTTTAAAAATAATAACAAGAGATCTTAACAAATATTGAGATCTACTTTAATTTATTGTATTCAAAATAGTTATGATAAAACAATCATTTTAAAGAGCTTTTAAAGTAAATTACTAGTATAACATAATATTAATAATATAATTTATGATTGTAGGTACTGAAAATAATTAATAAAACAATTCTGCTCAGAAGCATATTTAGCATAAGATACAACCGAAATCAGAAAATATACATTGATTCATATTATATCATAGGAACAAGACCATTTATTCATCATTTTAGCGTTAAACACAACATATACTATTTTATTAAGATTAATCTAACATGACCAAAATCAGAAAATGTACATTGATTCATATTAAATCATAGGAACAAGACCATTTAATCATCATATTGGTATTTAAGGAAATTAATGAATATACAAAGGTTATATGAATAATATTATGTAAATAAGATCAATTTCAGGTTATTTGTAGTAATCATAAGTAATTTATCATACGAACGAGACTAGAATTCATCATTAATTGATCATAAATAATTAATATAATATAAAATTAAAATGTATAACCGGAATTTTGTATACAGCTATAAGCTACTATTATTAAATAAATTGTTTAATTTATTTGAAATCTTACTCATACAAATTATAATCTGCTTTTTTTTTTGTTAAGTAGATTTAGTAAGTGTTTAATAAAACATTTAATTATAAACACATGTGGAGATTTACTAAATTATTATTCCTCAAATAATTTGAATAAAATAGCTAATAAACTACTTTAAAGAGCTTTTGAGGTGTTTTAATGAATAAATATTTTTTATAATAATAAAATGAACATAATAACATAAAACACTGATTAAAACATTGTTAAGTAGATTTAGTAAGTGTTTAATAAAACATTTAATTATACACATGTGGAGATCTACTAAATTATTATTCCTCAAATAATTTAAATAAAATAGCTAATTAACTATTTTAAAGAGCTTCTGAGGTAATTTTATTTGAAGGAATAACTATTTTTATAGAAATTAAATAGATCAATAATCAGTGTATCTATTACATTTTTATTTTTTAGAGTATAAAAATGTATCATGTCATCTGAGGATATTATGAGTTAGTTATAATACTTCATTTAAAATTTTAATAGATAAGCAATAATAAATATCATAGTCATAAAATAAATATATCTGTATAGTTATATTTGTAAGTTGTTGTGCAGATTTAGTAAGTGTTAATAAAATGAATTATTTCTAAACACATGTGGAGATCTGCTCAGTTTTGTACCTCAAAATTAAAAAGCAGAACAGCTATAAAGCAATAGTGCAGAGCTTTTTGAGGATAACATTTTAATTTAAAAAAACAAAAAATGTTTGAATTAATTTTAATATTAATATCATAAGATTGTTTAAAAATTTAATCAACCAGTCAGTTTACATTTATTATGTTTAAATACCTAAAGAAAATTATTGACTTTCAGATAAATGTATAAATTATAGGCAAATTGTTTGTTGTTATACAATAACCATGGATACAACTAACTATAGTTCTTAAGAAAATATTAAAACGAAAGAAAAAAATAAAATTTCAACATACTAGTTTTCGAGCAATTTGGAGAAGACAGTACTGGAGTGTTTGACATTTCTTGATCTACTTGTGATTGCAATTTTTTTAACTTTTCAGCTTCCTCTTCCATTTCACGTACGCGAGCTCTAATTACTTCCAAGTCCTAAACAAATAATAATGTTGGAATGCATACAATACACATTATGAACAAATTAAACTTACAGAATCTGCTGATGCTTGAGAGTCGACATTATTCGATTGACCATTTTCAATTAGGTCAAAAGACATGCTATTTTCTATACTAATTTGTGCATTATGTTCTTCGGTCGATAAATCAATACCACCTTCTAACAATTGGTCATCTAAGTCAGCCATGTTCAATTAACTAAAAATATAAAAAAGGAACATTGATCAAAAACTCGTTTGTAGAAGGTTTGGGACATCCCAAATAATTCGTTGCCAATTGTCATTAAAACAAAAACACTTAATTTATCGAAAAAAAAAAAAATGATAACCTAAAAATATCAAACGGGTAAAACGACACGGTCCCCAACAGACAGAATTATTCAGTTTTAATCGTACACAGATTCTACCATAAACTGTACAGCGGCGAACGTATTATAATACAATATCGATTGTGTTATATTTGTAACGGTTTTTTGACGCGCACTGGGAATGAATGAATAATGCAATACAGACCTAACTGTTCAACAATCGCCACGATCTACACCGTGAATTTGAAAATAAAAACTGTTAGACCAGACGAAATGATTATTAAAAGGTGTGCAAGAAAAACCGATGATGTTTGATCGCAGAGAATAAATTGACGTACTTAACTGCTAACCCCTGTGATTTCGGTCGCGAATTCTTCGCTAAAAGGCCGGGGATCGGCGGGTCACAGCAGTGGCCACGAGAATGCGGGGATGTTTGGTATCAAACACCTACCTAGGGGCGTGACGCGGCAGAGGTAGCGGAAACCTCGTACGCAGCCTGCGGATCAGGATGACAAATGCGGGACGCGACTCGAAAACACGTTCAACTAACTGGCCGGTACGAAGTACGAAGCGCCGCACCGGGAAAAAGACTCGAAAAAGGCTCGTGGACCCGTACCGCGGCGTCCACCACACTACCCCCACCGCACGGACCGCCGATCAAAAGCTGCAAATGGCCGCCGCCGTCGTCCCTGGTCTCCTGCGGCGAGCGGTTCGCGGGTTCAACCGAGAGGACCGAATCGAATCGGCGGACGGACAGAGGATTGCCTGATGACACGGGTGTTGGTCAGGTACTTACGCGGTGTCCGGTCCGGATGCAAACGGATGAAAAATTCGATTAGGCGGTGCGGTAGTTCACGGGCAATTCGATTCGTCGTTACTGGACGCGGCGGAGTCGTCTCGACACTGTACGGTACGTCGGTGCCACTCAGCAGTCTGCCGGCAAACAACAAAACGGAGGGAAAAAAAAACCAATAATGCGTATACACAGGCAGACCGAGAAAACGTAACGACTCGCTATTGACGACGCGTTAAATAATAATTAATAGCTATGACACTATCAAGTATCAAACTATCAAACGCAAGACCGGGCGTAAAAAACAGTTGTGTACACCGAAGACTGAAATATTATGTTGCAGACGTTGTACACTATGTACAGAAGTCAGGCGCACGTACACACGCGCATAAACGCACACGCCACACACACACAAACACACACGCAGACCCGCGCGCGTGCGCGCGGACGCGGAGTCACGTTTATGCTATATAGCATTTATCACTATTTTCACTATTTCCACAACAAACGACAACTTTATCATACAACAATACCGTACCGTGCACACGACGTCTGTATCAGTGTTTTAGTATAATTGTAAGATAATTGTAATTCAAAAATCCAGTATGACCAACATCAACATTCCACTTTCCAGTCCGATGCCGCCGATGTCGGATTGAATAAGTATATTTTTTCATTTTTAAAATGAAAAATGAAACCGATTTTTCTTCCGACCAATCTACCCAACGTATGGCGTTCGTTATGAGTTACGACTCGTAATATTATAACAAGACGTTAAGGCCACCACGAGTGACGAGTCTCCAATATTAATACTGCACGATTACTATAAATTATAGCCCAGGGTTCGAAAGTTGTTGTAGTACTAAAAATGTTACTTTTTAGCTCTTGAATATGCGCTTGAAAACTCCAAAATATGAACTATAAATAGCTCGAAAAATCAAAAAAAAAAAAGAATTTAACTTGAAAAAATTATAAATTTATTTTAAAAAAAAATTAATGTAATTTTACAATTTTATAATTTACAATCAAAAATTAAAAAAAAAATTCAAGAATTCAAATATTTTAAAAAATATAACCAAATAAATCATTTTTTTCAACAAAATGCGAATATATTATAACAATATTATATATATATTATGTGAAAATATACCTAAAATATTACTAAAAACACTAAATTAGCAAAATAGCAATAAAAACAGTAAATATGCAAAAAATAGCAAAATTAAATTTCGTGTATAGCATCAAAAAAGTGTGAAACCTATTAGTATCTTACTTTGGATGTTCTAGAAAGAACCAAGAAAAACATGCATTTGCTATTACTTTCAAGCCCTGTTCATTACCATTGACAAATTTGTGATTTTAATATTTGATTTGTTTCTGTATTTCTGTATATTTCCTATATATTTTAAACTTCAAACCACGCGTACACGACAAAATACATGCGACGGACGGACATTTCGTTCGTTTCCGTTTTAGACACTGTGTCTGAGTGAGTTATCAACCTCGGTTATCACGTTCCTTCGGAGGCGCAATCTAAAATCCATATTATGTTATTATTAATAATAAGTTTTTTAATCATCGTTCTGGTCATTACTCGTTTGCAGAATCTAAAATCAGTATAATCTAAATATTACTTGATGTAAATTTTCTAAATGTCAGCGTTTTGTAGTCTTGTTTAATCCTTTTTTATTCCTCCAAACCACGAACGTAACTCCACCAACTAATGTTAATCTCTTTTAATAAAATTATAATTAAGTAAATACTAGTGTTTTTTTTTATTCGTTTTAAATGCGTTCTTGGAATGTGACATGTACTCACTCATTGTGACGATTTGGATTAAGTCTTGATTTTAGACTTAACTGCATAAATCTTTGAAGGTATGCGTCGTCAAAACTATTATGTACAGAATTAACCAACAAAAACTCGATCACTATTTTTTTAGATTTACACTATAAGTGTTCCATTTTTTTTGCTTTAAACTTACAACGTACTATAAAAGCTTAGATTTTTGTGTATCACTTATTTTCATGTGATCCTAATGATCTTGTACCCACATAAAAAATCATTAATTTCAAATTAAATTTGGACGCAAACAAAAAAATAAAGATATTTTGTGAAAGTGTGATAAATTTTTGGAGCACACTTTATTTTGCTTAGATTACAATTGATTGCTTCAGAGACTAGTTACCAAATTATTAGATTTTAAAAATTATTCATATTACACGTTATTGCATTTTATTATTACACTTAATTATTATTCATAAAAACCAAATAGTTTAATAAAATTTGATTTTTTATTTATAGATTTCAATTAAATTATTCATACATTCAAGGACAAATAATTTTCATTTTAAATTTACTTCTAAAGCATAATTCATCAAATGTAAATGTCAAATATTTGTCCCATGAGTATTTGACCATTTGCTATCCAATTATCTTGTTTATATTGAGCAATATTTTAACAATTAATTTTCCATTTTCAAGTAAAAATGTTAGCATCTTGTTCAATATGTGGCGATTGTTTTACCGGAATTCATCCTGAATCAGTTCATTCAACACCTTGTGGTCATGTTTTCCACTACGAATGTCTCATGACATGGATTAAAAGGTATTATTTAAGTTTAAATTTAATTATTATTTAGGAAATACATTATAATTGTGTTTTAAAAATAAACTAGATATCTACACCTACTATTTTTTGCAAGGTATTTATTTTTCCGCCATAGTTACCAAGTGATATTGATTACATCATATTTTAACCATGAATATTTACTACTAAAAGTATATTAAAATTGGTAAAATAATAATTCCCAGTTTTTGGTATAATATTCCTCCTTAAAATTGTAATTATCATTATTTATTTGTGTAACTATTACCTTCTATCATTTTAAGATCGCAAACATGTCCACATTGTCGGTCAAAAGTTACTGAAAAGCAAATTATTAAACTATATTTTCACAACAATTCAAATTTAAGTATTAAGGAAGATATATCATCATTGACACACCAAGTGCAATCACTTACATATGAAAATACTTTGAAGAATGAAGAAATAAAAAATTTGTTAATTATAACCAAAAAAGAAAAAGAACAACTGATTTCATTAAAGTAAAAGAAAATGTTTAATTTATATTTTTTCTAAATAATATATTTATTATATTTACAGAAAACATGTTAAAGATGTGGAAGACAAAGTACGAGGTCATCAAACATTTGTATCCAGTTTACAAGAAAATATCCGTTTTCTTAAATCTGAATGCAAAAAATCTACTGCCTACAAACTTGAAGCTGAAGAATTGAAAAAAGATTTGGAAAAATACCAATCGTAAGACAGCTTTTTTTAAAAAAATGAAGTTTTATTAGCAAAAAAAATTGTGTAATGTTTGCATTAAATTACAGAATTAACAGTATATTATATGGAACACCTGCAGATTCTCAAGAAGCCGTATGTTTATTAAAAAAAAAGACTGATATTCAAACTCTGTGTTTACTCATAACTTCATTTAAGAGGTATGATTCATTATTTTAAAATTGTGTATTATTTTATAAATGAGTAATTGTTTCTTAGAGAAATTCAAACTTTAAAAGATAGCAATAAAGATTTGGAAACCAAATTTTCACAACGTGTTACTAAATACATGGAACTTAAAAGACATTTGTGTAATGTAAATGCAAAAGAATCCATGAATACCCGTGTAATGGAGTATGAAATCTATTTAATAAATTTAATCTTTAATGTATTTAAACACTTTTTTAATTGCTAAATTAATTTTAGAAAATTAAAATCAGAAATTACTGACCTTGAAGCAGAAATTGTAAGATTGCAAAAGAAATGTGAAAATTTAGAATCTCTGGTGCAAGCAAATGATAATACTCCAAGAAGAACTGAAATATGTAAAAGAATAATACATGAAAGTCCAGCTCCAGAGTTGACTGTTACTCCAGTTTTAGAAAAAGTATGTTAAGTAAAATCTATTATTTATCTAATTTAAATAATTATTTAAAATTTTAATATACTTTTTTTTTTGTACAAGAAAATTAGCAATGTAAGTTAAGTCAATAACATTAATATGTTGATTGAATGTCAAATATTATTTTTGTGGTTATTTCAATTCTTGAAAAATGTAATTTAATACTATCTATTAAAACATTATTGCACATTGTATATTTAAAATAGAAAATGTCTTTTTAAAAAATATTATTTTTTTATTTTATTAATTGCAACTGATGTGTTTAGCCTCTTCTAAGTTTAAACTTTACAATAAAAGCTACATTTATATAATGACATTGAAATATAATAAAAATTTATACTCATATGCATTAGTAACCCATTGAAAAAAAAATAGGTATGATGTATAAATGTGTTTTTTAACTGATATTAAATATAAATCTTTTAATGGGGCAAATAGTTCGCAACACGAAAACTGGTCCCTGACTGTCACAAACCAAGCAGCTGTTTCGCCTCTGTGGTCCACAACATAATTAAATTAATTGCCATGTTCTATTTTAATTAGAACTTGATTTACTGAAATACTTTAAATATTTTATAAACTAATATTATAAACCTATAGTTATAGGTTTAAGTATAAAACATTAAAAACCTAAAAGAAATAATACAAATACAAAAATAATAATAATAATAATAATAATAATAACCGTATAGGTTGAGAACTCATGGCTGTTGGGTAGGGTAAGCAGTGTGGTTTGAGGTACTCGGGGGGCCAGTTTTTGTGTCGTGGACTATAATGTGTATGTAAAATTATTAGATTTCTGTTTTTAAAGAATATTAGATGATTTAATAAAAAAATAAATAAATTGTCAATCCTTAAAATTAGTTAATTTATAGTTATTTTTTTAGGGTTTAAAAACAAATGTTTACTCTCCAGAAAATTCAGTTTCCTCTACAATACAACCTAAAGGACAATTAAAGCCACATAGTTTAAACAACAAAACAGAACAATCATCATCACAATGTGTAAATATTATATATTAATTATTAAATTAATAATAACACTAAACATATTTTATAGTATACTTCTTGAAATTAATTATTATATTATTGTTAAGGTTAACACATTTATGCCCAAAAGTCCTCGGCGACTAATTGGATTTATGAGACCACCTTTAACTACTAAATCAGTCAGTGCAAATTATGTTTCAAAATCTATAGTTTTTTCAAGTAGTTCAGATGAAGAAATGTTTGATGGTCTTGGTGGTCGTTCTAAACCAGATGTGTATCCTAGTCGACAGAAGCCAGTAATTAAAAAGCGAAAATTACTTTCTAATTTCAAAAAAAAACCACCACCATCAAATGGTAATACAACTTTGGACAGTTTTTTGTCTGCTGAAATTCTTTAATAATGTATCTCTTTACTAAAAAAAAAAACATATGTATAAGTTTAATTTTCATAGTTTTTATTTGACGATAT